GGTGGGATAGAAAGGGGGAACCGATTACAAGGATCTACATATAACCTCCTCCCTGGGGGATGGACAACAGAAAAGTGAGTGAAGGGCGATGTCAGATGGTGTAAGATGTGACAAAACAATAATTTATAAATTATCAAGGGTTCATGGGGGAGAGGGGAATGGGAGGGATGGGGAAAATGAGGAGCTGATGCCAAGAGCTCAAGTAGAAAGCAAATGTTCTGAGAATGATGAGGGAAACAAATGTCCAAAAGTGCATGACACAATGGATGGATGTGTGGATTGTGATAAGTGTATGAACCCCCAATAAAATGATTTTTAAAAAGTATATATGCAAGTGGCAGCCTTGCACTGTTTGAATAGAACATGTGTGCAGTTCTCACTTTGGTTTATCAACCAGGCACTGGATAGTTGCTGTATAAAGTACATTTATGTTCACCAGAGTTGATGAGAAGCGATTATTTCTATTTATCATGTTAAAGGAATTTTCAGAATTTTTTTCTTTAAAAAGAAATCAGGATTATTTTTTTTAAGTTGTTAACCTCAAGAACTGAGATACTTTGGATGGGCTTTACAAGGGGTGGGGGTGGGACTGCAGAATATTTGGAATAATAATAAACCAAAATACTTAAAAAGAAAATCATCAGCTATTCTGATGAAAATAAACGTTTTAAGAGGGAAAAAAAGTGATTATACACATGGACTTTTCCAAATGGAATACACAAAAATCAAATTGACTACATCTGTGTGAAGATATCACATATCTTATGTGTCAATATCAGCAGTTAAACCAGGCCAGGGGCCAACTGTGAAGAAGACAATCAATTGCTCACATGTAAGTTCTGGATGAAGTGAAGGAAATTAAAACAAGTCCACGACAGCCAAAATATGACTCTGAGTCTATCCCACCTGAATTTTGAAAACATCTCAAGAAGTGATTCCACGCAAGAAAAACTAATGACAGAAGTCCCGATGATGAACCGTGTGAGGACATTAAGAACATCGTTCATGAAGAAAGCAAAAGGTCATTAAAAAGACGGAAAAAAGGAAAGGTCAAAGTGGATGTCAGAAGAGACTCTGAAACTGAACTATAGAGTAGCTAATGCACGTGGAGGCAATGATGACATCAAAGAGCTGAACAGAACATTCCAAAGGGCAGTTCGAGAAGACAAAGCCAAATATGATAATGAATTGTGCAAAGACCTAGAATTAGGAAGCCTAAAGGGAAGAACATGCTCAGCACATGATAAACTGAAGGAATTCAAGGAAAAAATGTAAGCCTTGAGTTGCAATACTAAAAGATTCTATGGGCAAAATATTGAATGATACAGGAAGAATCAAAAGAAGCTGGAAAGAATACACAGAATCATGGTACAAAAAATAATTAGTTGACACTCCATTATTTCAGGAGGTAGCATTTGAGTAAGAACCAATGGTGTTGAAAGAAGAAGTTCAAGTTACACGGAAAGAATTAGCTAAAAACAAGGCTCCATGAATTGGTGGAATCCTAATTGAAATGTCTCAACAAGTTGATGAAGCGCTGGAAGTACCTACTTGTCTGTGCCAGGAAATTTGGAAGACAGCTTACTTGTCCAACTGACTGGAAGAGATCCATGTTCATAGCTATTCCAAAGAAAGGGGACCCAATAGGATGCTCAAATGCTCAGAACCATATCATTGATAATTATATGCAAGTAAAATTTTGTTGAAGATCATTCCACAATGGTTGCAGTAGTACATTGACATGGAGCTGCCAGAGGTACAGGACAGATTCAGAAGAGGACGTTGAGCAAGGGATATCATTGCTGATGTCAGATGGATCATGGCTGAAAGCAGAGACTACCAGAAAGATGTACTTGTGTCTTATTGATTTTGTAAAGGTGTGTGGATCATAAAAAAACCATGGGTAACCTTGAGAAGAATGGGAATTCCAGGACACTTTATTGTGCTCATGAGTAACTTGTACCTGGATCAAGAGGCAGTTGGGCAAACAGAATATGGGAATATTGATTTAAAATCAGGAAAGGTGTGCGACAGGGTTGTATCCTCTCACCATACTTATTCGATGCTGAGCAAATAATCAGAGAAGTTGGCTTATATGAAGAAGAATGTGACATCAGGTTTGGAGGAAGGCTTAGTAAAAATCTGAGATATACAGATAACACAATTTTGTTTGAAGAACAAGTATTCAAGAATACTTGAAGCATTTGCTGATGAAGATCAGGATTGCAGTCTTCAGTAGGGATTACGACTCAGTGTAAAGAAGACCAAACTCCTCACAAGTAGACCAATAAGTAACATCATGATCAATGGAGAAAAGGTTTAAGTTGTCATGGATTTTTGTCTTGCTTGGATTAACAATCTAATGCTCATGGAAGCAGCAGTCAAGAGATCAAAAGATGAGTTGCATTAGGTCAATATGCTGCATAAGACCTCGTTAAGAGTATTAAAGAACAAGGATGTTACTTTGAGGGCTAATGTGTGCTTGGCCTAAGCATTTGAATTGTAGTGCTAGAGAAGAATATTCAAAGTACCAGACTAAAAAGGACAAACTGATCTGTCTTGGAAGAAGTATGACCAGAGTGCTCCTTAGAGGCAAAGATGGCGAGACGCTGTGTTACGTACTTACATCATGTTGGGTAGAGTTGAGGAAGAGTGAAAGAGAGGAAGGCCTTCAATGAGATGGATTCCCACAGTGGCCACAGGGACAATGGTGAGGATGGCACAGGACCGAGCATTGTTTCATTCTGTTGTGCATAAGGTCGCTATGGTTCGGAACTGACTCTGTGACCCCTAACAACAACAACAACAACACAATCACATTCCATAATGCAATGCAATGTGATCAATCTATCAGTTGAGATAGTATCAGTGTAGGATGTACCCTAAAACAAATGTTTTTGAATTCTAAAACAACCAGAATGAACCTAGTAAGCATAGATTGGGAAGACAGGAGACATGCAATGATTGTCCACAAGCTAAGGAACCAAGTATGCCCAGGCATACTGGTAAGGAAGGAATCAACATGACCAAGATGCTGATTTGGACTTTAGCCTCCAAAGCTGGGGGAGAGAAATCTCTGTTCTTTCAAATCATCTACTTGTGGTATTTCTGTTATGGCAGCATTAGATAACTAAGACATAGATGCTTCCAGGAATCATTAGGTCACAACTTGGCAAATATGAAGGAGTCCTCTTGGGAAGTACCTTTTGGGAAAGAATAGTGGGTTGCAATATAGACAATGAATTAAAGAAGGCGTAGTTGCGGAGAGCGAGACCAATTAGGAAACTCTGAAAAGTAAGCCAGAAGGGATGAAAGTGGTCTGAACTTGGCTGATAGTCCTAAGAATAGAAATGGATAAATGTAAACGGTATTTAAGAGGCTGGAACGACAGAATATGAAATGAGAGTCAAAGGAGCATGGATGTTACTACACAAGGCTCCAAACCAAACCAAACCAAACCAAACCAAACCAAACCAACTTACTGCCATGGAGTTGATCCCAACTCCTGATGGTCCTATATAGGGTTTCCAAGACCATAAAGAAGCCTCATCCTTAAGCCTTGCTTTTCTCCCTTGAAATGGTTGGTACTTTTAAGTGCAGACCCAGCAGTTAGCAGCCCCACACCTAACGCACAGGGCTGCCAGGGCTCCAAGGGAAACCTTTTATGGTGGAACATCTGTGTTAACACGCAGAATACTTTTCCATTGACAATAATGAGTGAGACCAAGACTCAATTTGAGAATACTGATCACTATGAAAGAAGGTGTGCATTTTATGAAGTTCCACCTTTTGTAGCCCTTTCAAAAAACAACTCAGTGAAAATGCAAATCTTTGTAGTGAGCAGTCATGAACAGGGGCCCTAGGAAGAGGCCACATGTCTGGCCTGAATCTTGAGTAAAGGAGGCCCCTGTGGAGAATCATACTAAACACTAATTGAAATGGGTACTCTCTGTCTGTGTGTGAGCATCCCTCAGTGTATCTGAAAGCATATTTACCTTCTTAAAAGTTCTTTTTCCTTGGCGGTAAGATAAGAAATGTCTCGATTCCTGGTGGACATGTGGGTGAGTGCGCCACAGGGCATGTGCTCAGGCTTCGTGCAGTAGAAGGCTTCTTGGTTATCCAAGTATTGGCACAATTCAGCACTTGTATTTAGGGCCAGGCCACATTCAGTGAAGACATAGGAGGTGCCATTTCTAAATGAGCCTTTGAAAATAATCTTGTCATATCCTTGATTTCTTGCCCTCCAGAGAGCCGAAACCCCTTCGCTGGGGTGGATAAGCAGCAGGGACAGAGACACCGGGCCCTCCCAGAAGAGAGTGAAGCGAACCAGGTAGCTGCCATTGTGGAAGTCGCTCACCTCTCCTGAAGCACCTGCCCTCAGGGTGGGGGAAGTCATCCTGGCCCTCAGGAAATCCCCACCATACTCCTTCCTGCGCCCCAGGTGGTCCCTCGCCTCCAGCAGGAGGTCTAGGTGCTCCCCGGTGCAGTAGGTGTCTCGAGGGTTGAGCAAGGTGATTGTGCTGTGTGTGGCACTGGTGGTGGTGTTCATGTGGGGGAAAGGTCTGGGGGGGATCAGCTGGTCTAGTTTCTTCATGATTTCCTTTATCCTCAGGTCAGTCTCTGTTGGGGAGGCCAGTGGTCTCAGTGGTGCCTCAGCACATGAGGTTATTGTGGTGGCATTCCAGTTATACAGGAAGATTGGTAACCTTAACCCAGACCAAAACTGAAATGAAAAAGAATGCGACAAACTATGAAATGAACCCGTCTCTAGTCATTTTTACTTGCTACGTGCTTGAGTGCTCATTTACATATTACCAGCAATTTTATTTAAAACCTGTTAAATTTAGATAAAAGATAAATATTTCTATTATTACCTCAATATTTTAGAGAAAGCTCCAACAGTTGCAGATAGATACATTAAATTCAAAACATACAGCTTAGAGAATACTTTAAGATGGTTAGGTCAAAAAGTGTTGCTACTGCTAAATCCTAACTCCAATTTAAGAATAATTAGTTCTTATATCATGGCCTTGTTTGATACTCACCCTCAGGAAGGGAACACTGAAGATATGGGTGCTGTGACAAAGTGTGGAGAAGAAATCAGATGGTGCCCAGCTATCAGATGAAGTAGCATCTGGGGTCTTAAAGGCTTGTTTCCAAACAAACAGCCATTTAAGGGTGATGTCAACTAAGTCCATGTATTAGTCTAGGTACTTTAGAGAAACAAATCCACAGCAACTCATGTATAAGAGAGTTTTATGTAAAGAAAGTGTGCATCACGAAAACATCCCAACCCAATGCTGCC